ATTATTGCTTTGTTTTGGAGGGATTATTATTAGGCATGTGGGGTAAGGAAACTTGCCCAAGGTTTTGCGCTGTCTGGAATTGAACCCAGATCTCTTGCTTGCAAGGCGATCGCTCTAACCACTGAGTTACAGGACTCCTCATGGCACAAATATGGGATAGAAAGGATAGTCGCGGGTCAAACAAGATGCCAAGTTTCCAGACTGGTTTAATAGGGAGGAGTGTGCATCTATGGGTAGTGATGTTTGTAGTGCCTGAGGTGTGGAGGCGCTAATGGAAGCCCATCAGGAGGGCCTCGGTCTTGTTGACGTTCAACAGGAGAAAGTTAGTTCTCATCCAGGACTTGATGTCTGGCAGACATTTTCTCAGGACAGCAGTGGTCCTGGAGTCAAGGGTGGAGGCAGAGAGATAGAGTTGAGTGGCACCTGCATTCATGCAGAAGTTGACCCCATGTCTGCAGATGATTATATCAAAAGGGAGCATGTACATGTTGAAGAGAAGACTTAGCACAGAGCTTTGAGAAATGCTGCGCGAGACAGTGACAGATTGGAGATGAAGGTTGAGATAAGAGGAGAGGTAGTGGAGGATGATACAGTGGTCAGCGGTGTCTAAGGCAGAGAGGTCAAGGAGGATAATGAGACAAATGTAATTTGTCCCTTTGACCAAGGCTATTTCTATGCTGTGGACAGCATGGAAACCCAATTGAAGGAGTTCATAGAGGAAGTGGCAGGAGAGGAAGGAGCAAATCTGGGAAGCAACAACTCATTCTAGAGTCTTGGAAAGGAAAGGGAAGTTGGAGATGAGGTGGTAATTTGAGAACAGGGATGTTTTTTGAGGATAGGGATGATGACGCCTGTTTTTAGGGTGGTAGGAATGGTGCCGGTGGACAAGGAGAGGTTGAAGATGTCAATGAGTAGAGTGGCAAGGAACAAAAACAGATAAGGCACATAAACCAACATTTCCTAACAGGGGAAGTGAACCAGATAGAAGTTTAAATGAATGTGAATAAAATGTTTGTGGACCATAATTTTCCCCAAGAACGCTACAAATCAATCGAGTAGAAAAAAAATCATTGCCATCGATAACTGAAAATGATGACAATAATAAATAATAATCCTTGCATTTGATACAGTGACTTATCATGACATTGTGAGGTCCCAAAGCACTTCACAGGATACACTGTAAAGTGAATTGACTATTTTGTGGGCGAAGTATTCTTTAGTTATAACTGTTACCTCCATGCTTAAGGATATGAATTGTATGCATCGCACTGTACCACAGACCAGGATTTTTTTCCCCAGATTCCAGTCCAGATCTGTGCTGAGTTTAGATACCTCAGCAAGAAGGACAGTGTAGATGCCACAATAGACTCCCTCGACCAGCTTCCCAAACTCCGTGGGAAGTATCATGTGTGGCTGTGAAGTCAGAATGGGAATGTTTGGGACCTTGGGTTTGGTGCATTTGGTCTTTTACAAAGCATAGGTCTTACAACAGTGATAAAACACTGCTGAATCCATTTGCAGCATATTGTACTGATGTCTCTGTATACGAAATGGTCTCACATCTTTGGTAATGGGTTTTTTCACTGCAATGTAACCGCAACTAGGGTGGCGCTGATAAAAAATCTGTCACACCAAACATCATGTGCTGCCATTCATGTACATCCACAGTAAACATTAAATGTCTTTTTAAGAACGCCCAGGCATCTTTACTGGGGTTAATTTGCTTCCCTTTCCTTTGTGTATTTTATATTTGTATATGTTTTCCAACCTTTCCGATCACAAGTATCTGTATATTTTTTTTGCACCAAATTGCTCAAGTGCACATGATAGTGCAAGTTTCAGAAAGTTTCAGATCAAGTTTCACGATCTTTGCTGGGGTCCTGTGGACAGAAAGTTACACAGTGTGTGTTTTAGCTGTCCATCTGTATAGTTCTAAACAAAATATACACGTATAAGACCTGTACCATCAGCTTAACTGCTGCATGTAACCCTCCTCAAGGGAACATTGACCATCCAGCCTTCTTTATCAAGAAAGGTTCCTTGGTTCAAAGAGTCACACAGGATGTTACAGCACAGAAACAAGCCATTTGCCAACATACACACAGGCACTTTGCTACTACTTACCTTAATCCTGTGACGGACTTCCAGGCGTTTCCATGACCTGATAGAGTTCTTGCAAAAGGTCATCGAGCTGAAACGTTAATTCACTTTCCTCTCTCCATAGATGCTGCCTGACCTGCTGGGTGTTCCCATTTGTATCGTTACCTGACAGGCTTAAGTGCGTCCTGTTTCTGGGAGAAAGGTAATTCAGCAAAACAAATTTGTCCTTTTTTCTCCTAAAAATTTGACCAACCTTCTAATTCCCCTACAATTCTCCTAATCACACTGAATGAGGATATTGGAGAAAACCTTTATAATCGTCAACATTTCTCTAAAGTTGCCATTTCATTTCATTTTCATTCATTGAGTGGCTACTCAGCGTCTTTGTCTCCAATCACATAGTCACTACACTTTATAGTAAATCCCGAGAAAAGCGCTGAGATATCCTCCTGACCTGAAATACACTGTATCAAAAGCAAGAATTATTGTTATTTATTGTCACCAAGTTACCCCTTCATCTTCTGAATCGAAATAGCTCGGGCTCCCCAAATAGCTGTGTGAATGAAGTGCACTGAAAGGTCTTCTCCAATTGAAAAGTTCTATATAAATGTGAATTATTGTTGTAATTTTTTAAAAAATAATAATAATCCGAGGTGGGTTAGTGTGCAAACTGCTGGGAGCCGTGGACTGGTCCAGCATGAACCAAACGCACGTAAGACTGCTTTAAAATATCTATCTGTAGCATTTCACACTATGTATAGTCAAGGCACTGCCCTGCAAACCTAATCGATTTTTATCGATTTCACGTAGAATATAGCTATCAACAACAACAACCATTTGCATTTATATAGCGCCCTTCACCCAGAGTCGCGTCTCGGAGCACTGCAGCTATCAATGGGTTCAAATAGTACACACTTTTTGGGAAAGATCGGTAAAAAAACTTTATTTGTAACGGGATCCGATGGTTCACATACCTCGAATGGCGTTGTAAGTTAACTTGGAAGTACTGATCACAGCCTTTACACGCGCAGTCTTTGCCAAATAAAACCCGGAATAAGGTGCAAAACGAAGTGTAAGAGCGCACCCAACAAGTGGGACGTTTAACGATCCTTTAGCATTGAAATCTTTTTTATTTAAACCGTCTCAGTCACAAAGAAAATGAGGGCAGTTTGCAGGGTCACCATTGCCCTCGCTCCCCACACTGCAATGAGATCACTTACTTTAATCCGCGCGGTCTGTTCCGGGATAAAGACGCTTTGGACACCTACAGTGTTTGCAGTATCTTTAGAGTAAATTTGACCAACCTTCTAATTGCCTTTCAAAGCCGTGTGTTTGGGATTGAAAAGGGATTGGGCTCCGTTTCCAAATACACACGTTTTAAACCACAGGCTGTTTTGCAGAGTAATCCGGCAACCGACGTGGCCAAATGGACAGAACCGTGCAAACGTCAAAGGCAACGAGGAGACATCTCTCAACACCTTTACTGAAACCCCGACAGCCTTTGAATGTCACTGGTGTGAAACCCATGTTGACGCAGACTGTGTGAGTGTGGGATAGGGGAACATCAACAGAAACCCGGTTTGAGGTCGATAGCCTTTCTTTCCCCCTTTAAATGGTGATACTCTGTGGGCGAAGGTCGTGATCGTTCCTCACGTGTATCGAGAATTCAAAGTTCTCCTTGACCCAAACCCTCCATCATGGGAACTATTTTTCTTGTTATGGATTTCTCTCTGAGCTCTTTGGGAATGCTGGGCTGGGCTGGGCCGGAGTCAATGCTTTCGGCACCGATTTGTGTGCTTTACGCACCAGGTCAAGCGGGGATTTATTATCCGTTTTAATTGGGTTTATCTTTTCGATTTCTTCCGCTGGTGAGGTTAGCATTAGGCCAGTGATGGGTTGGTGTTGGCACTGCAGTAGTTGTGAGATAAGTGTTTCCTTCTGCACCGACTGCACCAAAAGAGGCAGATTATTGAGTCTAATTCCCGTGCGCTTGAGATCCAAACTTTTTTTTAAAACATGGAAGTCAACAATGTGACATCTTTGGGGAAGTGGGAAACTGAACTGTTTGTTTGGAGCACTTAATTTCTCAGAAGGGACGACATTGTATGAGGGCGATGAGATGTGGAAAGGGCTGAATTAGCAGTGCTCTTTGGAGACCGGTCCAAGTGCATAAGAGAAGGAAATTGGCCAAATAATTAGTAATACATGTTTCATTATATTAGCCATTGGCCCGTGAGAATAAAACATTGACAGGGGCGTATCGTCAATATTTTTACGCCAAAGTACATCACCACAGGCGAAACAGAAAGGAAAGAATAAAACTGCATTTTAATTAATTTACAATCGTGAAATTCATATTTGAATACATATTAAAAAAAACAAATCAAACTCTCTCTCTCAGTCATTTAAGACGATTGATCGAAACTTATTTGATAATATTGTCAACTAAAACTATAAGCAAATTATATATAAATATATAATATATTTAAAATCCAAACGGAATGACCCGTTTAAACTTTTACAAATGTAAACATTGGTGGATTTAAGAATATTGGAAATTATTAGTTGTCCAAATAGATATAGTACGAAATACAGTATAACCTGTACACAAATACCGTCGGCAATGCTACTCCCTGTGTGTGGATTTAGACAACACTACAACTATAGGACGCCTAAACTGACTTTTAATTTCACAAAATTTTGCTTATATTGAAAGACCAACTAACTCCAAGTATTATCGGAGATTGGACCAAGTTAAGGAACAGTTGCGTGAACTCGAATTCATACACTTAATTGGCAGATCTGTTCCAGCCCCAGTGTGGCTTCACGATGTTCAGCAAAACTCGCTCCAACTGGAAGATGGTTTACAGGGATCCGAGGACACACCACCACAGGTCTGTCTATAAGCTCGTGTGCTGGTGGGAGCTGTGTAAACTGAATGCATTGGGATGAGAGTGTCCAATAAAGTTAATGTAATGGCGATCGAGGCCCTGCACGGAGTGCAGGAAGTTGTGCTGCTGTCCCGGGTTGGTGATGGGTACGGTGGGACTCGGGATAAAGGGGATCCCGGAATTCCGAGCCGAGCCGTGCCAGTGCAGTGGCTGCGTTCTCGCCATCCCGGCTCCCGGCTGGAGCAATGACTCGTTCAGCGGGGAGTTTGTGAATTCTGGAGCGGGGTGAAACTGGTAGGAATACTCTGTGTCGTGAGACGAGATTGGGCCGAAAATCGGATCAGTGCAGCGGCGAGCTTTGGACTGCAAGAAGGCGAGTATCCGAGCGTATTTGGTGTCCTTGGTTTCCATGCGCTCCACAGTGGTCAGGTAATGCACCAGGTTCTTCATACACTCGTGGTAACCAGCATGGAAATAGTTAGCAAATTCTGCCAACAGCTCGCCTGTGTAAATAAAGATCACGGGTGTGCATTCACTCAACACTATTAACAGCTTAAGGTCTTTCCATAATTAATATTGTTATTACTGGGCGTCACCGCTGGTGATTGATGGTCGGAGGGTTGAATCTGAGGTTCGGTAAAATCACAACGGAAACAGGGGCAACATGGACAAAGTGACTTTGATGCACTTAAAGGCATTTCACATATTATCCACGCTATGGTTATCTCCTAATAAAACATAGGTCCCTCGCAATATATTAAAACAATACAGTGACCTTTGGAAATGTGTCGAGATTCAGTGCAGAAAGCGTTGACTTTTTTTTTGCAGTAACGATTAGATTCCATCGCCATCCCGTCTGGTTGACAATGTATTAGTAAATCGGATTTTTTTCCCTTGCCATTGGCTACTATTCGTATTGAGCAATCGACACTGTTTTATGAATGATGTGAAATGTGGGCTTAATTCAATGTTACATGGACACTTTCTCCAGAGCTGAAGTCTGAGAATCTAAATTGGGATCTGGTGACTTTGATGTGCTGGTCGGTCTCTTATGGTTGGAAATCGTTACTGAATGTGGGAAATATTTATCATAAATGATCTGGACACAAACTTGAACGCGATATGCGTAATGGCACCTTTGCGTCACCCCAAACACTGACGTGACGATTATTAATCCTGAGTAAAAATCTAACGCAGATTAACTATGCACTTTTAACTGTGCAGTTATCTCAAGATACCACCCCATCCCCCTCAAAAAAATGAAGCAGTCGAAATATTGTTCTTCCAATAAAATTGCATTGCACTGTTATGTGCAAACTTGTGTACAGGTACACAGAGTGCTAAGGTTAAGCGAGACATATCCACAGCACATCGACGCTGCGTGTGTGGGAGGGGGGGATCAGCAGATCTATATTTGGGAATACGAGTTTTAAATGCAAAGTTTGCTTAATAACTCACGCCTGGCCATCCGCATAAAAAGCATCACCCCCCGTTTTGAAGTCGAGTTACTTATAGTTTGTTAGTGGAGAATAATGTCCCCCTTACCCTTTTCTCTTCCTCTGGCGAAGTCGGCTGAGTGGAGGGCTCTTAAATACTGGACTGTCATTTCCAAAATTTCAGCTTTTTCCAGTTTCCCAGTGCCCTGCAACACGAGATCAGAAAAGAACATCAACCACAGACAAGTGTACATATATATATATAAGGACATAAAAGTGGCGCATCTTGTGGAGCAAAAGGGACACCATCCCTCGCTATAACCACACAGAACTGCATCCCCACAAAATCACATCACTCCACGGTGGAGCGGGTGGGTACCTGTTTTGCCAGTGCCATCGGCACAGTCTTGCCAAGTTCGTTCAAACAGCGATTGATCCGATCTCTTCGCCTCTTCTCGATCACTTTGTGGGATACAGGAGCAGTCTGGTCAGGAATCGAGAAACGATTACTGTACTACACATACACACACAGAAAAGGACACAGGACGTCCCGCGGATACGTGCGCCTTGACCCGAGTCGGCTCAGGGAAAGTGGCCAACTTTCCATCCCCGCTCACCGAGACCCTTTACCTTCAATGTTACGAACCGCTGATCCACAACGGGATATACGGTTTGTTCCAAAACGAGTGATGCCTCAACGTGTTGCGGCACCTGTTGCGGGGACAGGAGCGGCGACCAAAGTGAACCTAACCCGCAGCCGGGCTTACCTTGCGCTCTTTGCATTTGGAGGACATCCTCATGCGGAGACGGCGAACGAAACGAATCGAAAGGCTTTTTCTTTTTTTTGTGTGTGTGGGGGTGTGTGTGGGGGTGTGGAGGGGGGTGGGGTGGGGTGGGGTGTGGGGACCGGTTGGCCGCCGGGGCTGTGCCCGTGTGCCTCTCTGCTCCAGTCGAGTCAAATGAAAAACGTGCTCCTTCTGGGCTGTAAGTGGCTCCTTATAAAGCGATCATTGAGGGGTCCCGGGGAGGGAGGGGGGGTCCGGGGGGGCTATTCATTGCCTAAATTATTCGCTGGGATTAAGAGAGTGGGGCACTGGGGAATATCCAGTTAAAGCAGTGGCAGGAGCCGGGGCCGGGGGGTGGGGTGGGGGGTACTGGGGAGGGGGTGAGCAGAGGGGGAGGGGGCAGAGCTTTTTTGGTTAATCCACGTGGGGCTCTCTTCAAAAGACACGTGATCGCTCCCAAGGCACACAATTTGCATAGGAATAAAAAGGCGGGAAATGCGAACTAAAGCCCCTGATCCGTCGGGAGCGCAGTGCGCAACAAGAAAAGAAAGAAAAGGGGAGGGAGAGAAAAAAAAAACGTTGCTCCTCTCTCTTTTTTTTTTTCTTTTCCAACCCCTTTCTCTCCCTCTCTCGCCCCCGTTTTAACAAAAACCCGGCGAGCCGTCCCAGCCCCAAGCATGTCCGGAGTCATTAAAGTAATTAAGTAAGCCTTTAATAGGCTGTTCCGCCGAGTTCAAGGGAGATCATTGGAAAGGGAATGCTCCCGTTTGTTCTCGCACGACTTGGTGACACATCCATTTTATGGGAGATGGCAAAGCTTTTGTTTCCACTCATTATTTATTGGAGACCTCGGCAGGTGTGGGATTGGGGCTGGCACACGAACATTGCCTGCCTCAAACCAGCTCCAGCAGACTTTGGCACACGAGGCTACCCACCACTGGATTCGATTTGGTGGTGGGCTCAATTTGTAGCCTATTATCCCGCAAGAAAATGTCCATTCAAACGAATGAATAGTTCCGTGGGCCCAAATTTTAATAATGGACGATCTTTTTAGCATTGTGGAGAGAGGGGAATGCAAAAGAAAAAAAAAAAAAAATAAATAAAAGGGAAAATGCAGCTGGTCCAAAAGTGCATTATGCACTGTCACCTGCGAGAGGGAGAGCCCGGAGATCCCTATTCATTTGCCTAATTTTGATCAATTTAACAAACTTTGGGAAAAATTACTCCGGCATTGTTCAAGAGGGGGACGCTTGATGGTCGAATTAGCAGCATGTTCTGATCCGGTAAATGTCATTAGGGAGAAGGAGACAATCGCGTTTCAAATGGTCCCTTTTAAAATGCGCCCAAAGTGGCGAAGCCGGAGCGCTGGTGTTGTAAAGACGGCGCTGCGATGCGATAGGCTGCACCGGGTCCCGCTTTTGCAATATTATCATAACAAAAATATTTTTAACTCGCGAGGACCTTACATGGGGAACAAAGCTGCGTGTTTTTTTTTCTTGTGTGTGTGTGTGTGTGTGTGTGTGCGTGTGTTTTTTTTTCTTCTTAAAAAAACCGATCCCTGTTTAAGCGAAGTTAACTTCCAGGATTGCTGGGGTCTCTGCTGGCGTTGCTTTGACACACGATCCCTGCTTTGGGCACCCGAACGTTTTGCGCAGAGTATTTTGTAGTTTTTCTTTTTAAAAAAAAAGAAGTACACAATCACACGTCGGGAATTATGTGTACGTGTAAGAGACACACACGTACGTTTGCAAACGCGAAAAGAGTGTTACAAAGCACACGGAGCCCCAACCCCAGGAGATTAGCGGAATTTAAAAATGAAAGGGGGTAAAATGTTTAGGTTTTGCAGATTAGAATCACTTTGCAAAATCGACGTGAATGCTGAATTGGCTGCAGCTCGTGACTCAATACAAATAAAAAAAAAGTATGCGTGCATCGCAAGAAATGCATGGCCCGCGATGGGAATAGAAACGTTTTTTTTTAGAATAATAGGATTTAAAAATAAATAAATGGTTATATGGGAGTGAGCAGAAAGCAGAAAAGGGGTGAACCTCGTTTGTGAATGTTACCAAGTGGGTCCCTCCAGCTTTAACGGTAAGATGCATAGAAATGTCAATACTTGTTGTTCCTCTGGAATATTTTTATACAATTTAAGTTATTAGCAGAGTGATGCCCACGACCTTTTGACTTGCCACAATGTGGCCAGCATCAGTTTGTCAGACAAATCGGTTTAGCTCAGAGTGCTGGCCTTGGCGATGACCTTTCAATGGGAAATTGTTCTGTTTGAATTAATCTTCAAGTGAAAACGACGCAAGATCACCCAAGCAACTCGGTCTCCACAAATACAAGGAAAGCATATTTAATGTATTGATTGTACTATCTATTGCTCCTTGTATTTCCACATGCACACATACGCACACCGTGCCTGCTGCATCACAGCTAAGAGTAGATCGTAAACACAGTACCAGTTGTTGTGCTTTTATATGATTTTACATTTTTAAAAAAAAACTTCGACTTTTAGTTTTAAGCGTACCTAAAATGTTCCTTTGTATTGCATCAACCTGGGCTTTCGGTTCTAGTTTGACACAGACAGCATTTAAAACAATTTTATTTAGCCTGATCCTTTATTAGTATTACGCACATTAACACACAGAGAGCCAGATTTTAAATGCTCCGATTTATATAATACCAAAGAGCCGGGATTACTTGTTGAAAGTGATTTATGGCGAAGTTCCAGTGGATTGTCAGTCGCTTGTGCTTATTGAGGTCTGATGTTACTGGGGGACTTAGTTACTTATATGGTAAGCACCACATGCCCTGGCTGGCTGTGTGGGGGGCTCTGGTTAATGCATCCCACGGGGCGCAGCGTTTTACTGTCCACACTATACCGAGCAAATACGGTGAACACGTTCAGTTCTTTACGTGTTTGCAGCAATTTTTCCTCTTTGCTGTTTTGATTTTTTTTTAATTTGAAACTTTACTCATTTGTTTCATAAACATAGCAAGATACTGCTTGATTCCAAAGAAATAGATTTCGTCTCTAATATTTTACGATATATATATATACACACACAGAGACAGATAAGAGGCTTTCGTCAGGAAATCTATGACAATCCTACATTATAAATTGTAAGATGAATTAAATGCATTTTCTTAGCAATTGCAATTTACTTAAAAATATAGCGTCGGTGTTAGCTTTCCAATGAATAAACTGTTTCGCTAATACCCATTTGGGAACTGTGAAGGCAAGTTTATTTCAGGAGTGATACATCTTCCTGATCGACCAGTGAATAAATACCCATTGGTTTCTACAGGTGGTTGGACTGTAGACACATTGATGCATTGTTTCCTCTCGTATATCGTGGCTGTACATTCATCAACAGACGATAAGTTACACTGCAGATTTCACATCGATTCAATAAAGCCAGATGTCTGCGCTTTCCCGAGAGTTTATTTCAGGCAATCATTTTCAGACTTCTCCGGATGAAACTGGAACCGATGCAAACTTTTCTAAAAAGTGAAACGAAAGAGTCAGACGCACACAGGTGGGGAATTAAGCCTTTGTGTTGTGCACAGAGCTCCACTCGACTGAACACAGGACAGTGTGAGGGAGCAGTCTGCATCAACACCATTCACTGTTCTGCCCCAAACTGGGTACGAGTGTCCAACTGGTGCAACTGCCATACATGTCATATTATATTTATGTTTTATTAGAACTGGAGAACGGGAGTAACTCTTCCTTCATCCTCGGGTCTCTGTCCACGTCAATCAAACCAGCCGGGAGGAATGTCTCCAGGTGCCTCTTTCCACTTGGTCTGAATCAATACTGTACATGGCAACCATGCGCATGTTTTCCCTTCCCTCCTATCTTCTGGCATGGTGCACTAGATCAAAATAATAATAATCCTTGCATTTTACATACCGTCTTATCACTTCGTCGAGACGTCTCAAAGCGCTTCACAGAATATACTGTAGAGGGATTGACTATGTCTTTTGTGGGCGTAATTGCGAATGGCTAAATCAAAAACCTTCTAACACGGGGATCAGCCTCATTGTTCTCCTCTGCATTATCTTTAGAGCTGGATGACCTCTTATATTTGCAGCAATCAGAACTGGTGCTGTACTAAGGTACAGCCTGACCGGTGCACTGTTTGAGCATGATTTCTGGGGGCACGACTTCTGGGGAAATTTTTCATAGAATTGTTTTACAAAGCAGGAAGAGGCCATTCAGCCCATCATGCCTGTGCATACGCAATATAATTTGCGATCCATTTATTCCCACTCTCCCTCTCTTTCCCCATACCCTTTACATTTTTCCTTGTCAATTTGTTTTGTCTAATTCCCTTTTAAAAGCTCTAATGGAATTTCTTTATTTTCCTTCCTTGTACATATTTCATAATAATAATCTTTGCATTTGATATAGCACCTTATCACGTCATTGAGACATCTCAAAGCGCTTCACAGGATATACAGTAAAGTGGATTGACTGTGTATTTTGTGGGCAAAACGCAGCAGCCAATTGTGCATAGTAATGTTCCACAAACAGCCATGGAGTGAGTGGCCAATTTTATTTGGGAGATTGTTGTCCAGAACCCCAGGAAAAACTCCCTTCTCTTTTTGAATAGTGCCTTGGCATCTTTATCATCCAAATGAACAGGCAGATAGGATCTCGGTTTAACATCTCATCCAAAGGATGGCATCTCCAACAATGTAATACACCCTCAGCACTGCACCAGTGTGGCAGCTTTGACTATGTGCTTCACTGTTTTATTCTAGAGCTCAAAGACAATCTGTTGGGACGTCCTCCCGACATGAAAGGCGCTCTATAAATGGAATCTTGTTGTTGTTGTTGTTTGAGATCCTCCAGAACATGGCCAAGCCCCAGGTTGTATCTGGCATGCAGAGCAGCGTCACCTGAACAACTTTATCAAGGTATGTGTCACAGAATTAAAGGTTCATACGTGATCATCACATCTTCCAGTGGCGCTAAATTCAACTAATTTGGTGATTGT